AGCTTAGGCTGTGCCCGTGGAGCCATTTTGTTCCTTATCCAGCAAGTTTATGAAACTTCATTGACGTTATTTGTTCAATTGCACTTTTCTTTGTTAGAGAACAGACGTCAAGGGGCTCTGAGTGCTGAATTGCTAATATTTCCTGTGTGCAAATAAACATTAAAAAAACCTATTGGGTTAATTTTCTGATCAGCAGATACAGTAGAAGTAAAAAGAAGAAATGTTTGTGATTTTCCCTAAAGGCTTCGTTCAAGCAGTAATCTATTGGGAGTAGGAGGATGAGGATACAGGCCTCATAGGGGACTTCAGCAGGATCCACCCCCCAGGACCATGTTTTGAAAATGCCTAGGGCAAGTTGGCACCAGGGGTGACAGGTTTGTATAATTTTTGGTGATGCCCCGAACGGGATCAAGTCCAACCCCCCCGACACCTGCTTTGTAAGCCGATATATATATTTTTAAATAATGTAAAAATATGAGGCCTCTGGGGTGGTAGTGGGGATGAGGGTTTTGGGGTGTGGGAGGGGCTTAGGGCTAGGGCAGAGGTGCGCGGGTGAGGGCTGCGGGGTGGGGCTGGGGATGAGGGGTTCATGGTGCAGGAGGGGGTCAGGGCTGGAGCAGAGGGTTGGGGTGTGTGTGCGGGGGTGAGAGCTCTGGCTGGGGGTGCAGGGTCTGGGATGTGGCAGGGCCGGGGATGAGGTGTTTGGGGTGCAGGTAGGCTGCCCCTGGCTGGGGAAAAAGAGGAGGACACTCACCTCACACCACTGGGAAATCAGGGATGCCATATCTGGATGCATCTTGACACAGCAGGGAGGCAAAGGATGACATCTGCTTGTGCCAGGGGACACCATCACACCTTGTCCAGCTGCTGGAGGAGCTCCCAAGGGAACATTGGCACTTCCCTGGGGGCTAAAGAGTTTCGGGAGGGTGTTCATTCCTGTGACAATTCACACATTAAAGAATTTTAACAGGGCAACTCCACTGGGTTAACACCTTTTTAGGCTGAGGAGGATGGTGGCTGAGTTGTAATACAATCATTGTGCGATTCTGTTTTCTTATCTGTCCACACACCTCTTATCAGCAGTGCTCAGTCACACTTAACCACCTTAGCTACATTTGCTTTGGGGAAGAGCAGGGTGGGGACAGGCACCCATTTTTTTAACTGTTCTTTGTCGGCAGTGCTAACTGCGCTTAGTGGCTATTATGGAGCACTAATCACTACTAAGTCTGAAACCGGTTAAGGTTGGGAAATGGGGGCTAGGAAGCGACTTTTAATCACAGGGTGATGGCAGCTGACTGTATTGGTGCTTGAATTGCATTTCGTTTTTTTGCACATCAACCAAGCCGCAAAGACGTTTCTCTACCCATTGTCTGTGTTGGGAGTTCCGCTACATGTGGAGGTAGCGGTGGGTT